GAGAGAGAGAGAGAGAGAGAGAGGCAGAGACAGAGACAGAGAGAGACAGAGATGGAGAGAGAGATATATATATATATATAGAGAGAGAGAGATGGAGAGATGGAGAGATAGAGAGATAGAGAGAGAGAGACAGAGATAGAGAGAGATAGATAGAGAGAGACAGAGAGCGAGAGAGAGAGAGAGAGAGAGAGGCAGAGACAGAGACAGAGAGAGACAGAGATGGAGAGAGAGAGATATATATATATAGAGAGAGAGAGATGGAGAGATGGAGAGATAGAGAGATAGAGAGAGAGAGACAGAGATAGAGAGAGATAGATAGAGAGAGACAGAGAGCGAGAGAGAGAGAGAGAGAGAGAGGCAGAGACAGAGACAGAGAGAGACAGAGATGGAGAGAGAGAGATATATATATATAGAGAGAGAGAGATGGAGAGATGGAGAGATAGAGAGATAGAGAGAGAGAGACAGAGATAGAGAGAGATAGATAGAGAGAGACAGAGAGAGAGAGAGAGAGAGAGAGAGAGGCAGAGACAGAGACAGAGAGAGACAGAGATGGAGAGAGATATATATATATATAGAGAGAGAGATGGAGAGATGGAGAGATAGAGAGATAGAGAGAGAGAGACAGAGATAGAGAGAGATAGATAGAGAGAGACAGAGAGAGAGAGAGAGAGAGAGAGAGACAGACAGACAGACAGACAGACAGACAGACAGACAGACAGACAGACAGACAGACAGACAGACAGACATACAGAGAGAGAGACACACACACAGACAGAGACAGACCGACCGACCGACAGAGACAGAGACAGACAGAGGAACCGATCCCTCAAGTCAACCGTGAACAACATCTAAACGTAACAAAAGGCATCCCCGCTTCCCACGCATCCCCAACCGTACGCACCGCCGTGCTTGCTCTTGCTCCGGACGGCGAATGTAAAATTCTCAGGCCCCGGTGGCGGACCGGCTGTACGCATCTCCGGAGACACAGGCGGCGCTGGCGAAGAGTCGCGAGGAGGCTAGGGCAGCCAAGGAGCTAGCGGCCTGCACTTTTCGTCCGGACACCTCTGGCTCTTCCAAGCGGTGGGTGACCGGAGCGTTTTTCTTCTTGGCGTGGGTGATATTTTTTCTTGGTTCTTGATCTGTTCGTCATATTGGGATATATTTTTGTTGCACGAGGAAAGCGTTCTGAGATAATATTTTTTTCTCTTGTAAGTCGGTCCGTGGCGTGTTGTTGTTCTTCCCTCCTCTCCTTGCGTCACGAGCACTGCTGGTTTTGTCGGCGTTAGCCTCACGTTCAACTCCAAGCGCCCTTCACAACCAAAGGCTAAATTACCTTGTATTCAGCCCAACGTCTTGTGGAGCTACTATTTCTCCCAGTACTACCCCCTTCCCCTTCCCCAACCACCTGCACCCCCCCTCCCTGTACCCATCGTGGAACACCCCTCCTGACCACCCACTTCCTCCTCCTCCTCCTCCCTCCCCCTCCGCCACCGCATTCCTGGCTGAAACGCTTGCTTTTTCTTGTGAAGGTCGTCAGCGGGAAGCGGGCGAAGGGACTCCGCGGGGAACACGAACGCGCACGACAGGCTCTTCGGGCTCCACGGGGAGATGCTCATGTCCAAGCAGGCCAAGCGGGAGGTGCGCCGCAGGGACGCTTGTAGTGCTTGCTGCTGTTGTTGATGTAAAGGCTGCCGTGGTCATTACCGTAGTGGTATGGTGTGTTGTGGACATTGAGGCTGTTGTTGCCGTCGTAGTTTTGTGCGACGGGGACAATGAATGGGGCGAGGACACATTTTCCATAGGCAATACTGCACGTTTCTTTTTTCCCAAGAAGCACCATTGGTCAACCTACATGTAGCTCCACAAGGAATACCGCCTGGCAATACTGTATGCGTACCACATGGGAACGTCCTTTCATTTTTTGCCTTTTCGAGTTGTTAGCACAAACCTTCTCGTGCACACAAAGCGGGTGGATTTCCCATCGCCTTTTTTCTATTCTCGGCCAAAACCTTTTTTTTTTCGACCGAATGGTTCGCTCTGCTGCTGCCCCCAGCTGTGCTGCTGTTTCACGATATGCTTCTCCAAGCAAATACCCCTTTCTCCTCCGTTGACAGGAACTGGCGGCCAAGGAAGGCATGACGTGCACCTTTTCCCCCGCCCTCGTAGCCAAATACGTACCCAAAGGCGGGAAGAAGCTTCTCAGCGTCGACACCGAGAACGAGCCCGTGTACGAGCGGCTCTACAGCGCGAGGGGCCGGGCTCAGGTACCCCACCCCTCTTGGCCTATGGAACCCCCCCCCTATATCAGCAGTCTGGCCTATCTGTTTTGCACGGGGAAGCATCATTTTGTGCGTACGCGTACGTTCCCTGTCCATGCGGTTCGAATCGCTAGGATGTTCGGGATGGGCACGTTGTTGTCGTGCAGGTTTACGTTCTTTTGTTGGCGTTTCACTACTTTGGGAGTTGTCGTGGTGGCTGACTTCCTACGCTCACTGCTTGCTCTGAACACGCCGTGCTGATTAGTTTACGGGGGTAAATCGTTCCGACGATAAACCAGGACATTACCACGTGTGTCTCCACAAAGCGCGGCCAGCACGTGTCATCCACACACACACCACGTCGTCACACTTTTCCTCCATTTCCATTTCGCTCTCTACGGAACCCGTCCTGCTCGTAAAGGCCCGTGAGGCCTTCGTGGACCCAGAGTGCACGTTTCAGCCACACTTCAAGAGCAAGTCCGTGTCGTCGTCGCCCCGGCGCCGTGACAACCCGGAGGGATCTCGGGTAGACGAGATGTACAAGGTTGGGAAGGAGAGACAGGCAAGTGTTGACGACAAGACGCGTTGTCGCTGAGGTTTGAATTATGGATAGTGTCGTCGTCGTCGTCGTCGTCGTTGTTGTTGTTGTTGTTGTTGTTGTTGTTGTTGTTGTTGTTGTTGTTGTTGTTGTTGTTGTTGTTGTTGTTGTTGTTGTTGTGTTGTTATGTTGCCGTCGTCCTTATGATCGCTGTTGTTGGTACTACTCGTGTGGCCGTTATCGTTCATGCTTCTTGTTGGTCGTGCGATCGAGTCAAGTGCAGAGTTATGAATGCTCGATTGTGAAATCCCCCCCCCGCTCTCCCTCGTCTTCGATGTCATGTCATGTCATGTAATGTCATGTCTTGCCTCCTCCCGACACCTTGTCCACCAAACTACATGAACACACCAGACGGCCAGGTCGCAGTCTCCGAGGAACTACACGGCGAGTTTTCGAGACCAGGACGAGGCGAAGGAGATGGAGATGTGCACCTTCCAGCCTGACGTCTCGTCCTCACAGAACGGGTTGGTTTGTGTGTAGAATATATGTGTGTGCCGGCCGTCGACTTCTGAGACGATCCTGACCCCCCCAACCGTTTCAATTGTCCCCCCCGCTTAATTCGCCATGTTTCTATGCAAAGATGGTGATATTCGTCTGAGGTAGTTTTTTGTTTTTAACATGGCTGTGTTCTGGTAGATAGTACTAGGTTCCTCTGATCTAAGCTGGACATTTCTTGAAGGGTTAGTATTGTGTACCACACCGGGTGGGGGGGTCGTTCTTCCAGCGCAGCAACCCACCGCGAAAGGAAGTATATTTTCAGGAGAGTGGCTCGCAATCCCCTTCCGAAAACAAAGCGTGAACTACTCAACATCATTCTAGTATATCAAGTCCAAGTGGTTTCTCTTGATGTATTCTGTAGAATTGATTTGTTTGGAAGACGAAAGTAGAAGATAAACCGAGCGTAAACTTCTCAACATAATACTTCAAATAAATCAAGAACAAGTGGCGTATATATTTATCATAGAACATTGCATATTTTTTGGCAGGTAAAAGTAGAAGATTGGTTCTGTGAACCACAGCGTACTAACCTACGCATTTCTTTTTGTATTGGAGAACGACTCGCATTGACTGCAATATTTCCCCGTGTTCCTGACACCGGCAGTCGCTTCAAGGCGGGGTCCCGGGGTCGTGCTTTGTTCGACACTCTCTACGCCAAGCACGTCGACAAGGCCAACGCCAGGGAACGCGTTCGCGAGGTGAGACGCAGGCACCGACAATGGGTGGAACCCAACACACATCACCCCGCATGCTCGCTCATGACGGAGACTCACTCCGCGGGGTTTCTTCATTTCTCGTTGAATTATTTCCCACATGTCACCAGATGCGGGGGTATAACGTGATGCTCTTACTGTTACACGTTTTTTTGTGGTGGCGCGTGTACTGCGTTATCACGCTCACGGGCTCTTGTCGAGAGCATTTCTGCACAAAGGATTGACTCAACTTCCTTGTTTTGAGGAGTGACAGCTGTACGCACGAAGCGGCAACGCCTGCTGCACCAAGTCTGTATGTCTATCATACCCCACACAACAGAACCCCCTTGGAGATTTTGGAGAGCTGTATCCTGCCGACTACACACACAAACACATGCGAAATAGCCTTGCTTCTTATGAAGGCGGAAAATCAGAGTTGGGAGTGATTTGTGAAGCTTCCGGAGACTTGACGCACGCTAGCACACCAATGAAAGCACGAATACGATCTAGAGATGAAGTGAATCGATAGTGTCCGCCTGAACTCCTGTCGGGCTTGGGTTTCCCCTCTGAAGCCATCTTCCTGTCTAATGAGCAAGAGCTATAGCTGCAGAATGACATGGAAGGGAACGTCATGACGTTGACCACAATTATGGGTCATGTAGATCCATATCCCCAACGTCCATCGATTCCGGAACCCATCTTCACATTTGGCAACACGCCAAGTTTGCATCTGGCGCAATGTAACTGAAAACACCTAAGCACGCATTCGCATCGGTAGAACCCTCCGACTGTAAGCAAGCGTGTTCGGGTTTATGATCCCTCTACGGGCATAATTTTATTGGCGAGTCGGTTAACGCGGTCGATGCTACATTAATACCACACGTGCACAACCGACGGCTGACATACAAGCAGTTGTACAATTCCAACATTACCAATAGATGACACCTTCAGAGTGACGTACACGCAGTTCGTGTGTACAGTGATTTGACATTTATGGTGGGAGCGTGGCCCAACAAAGGCTGCATTCCCCGCCGCCCGTGGGACGCGGTCCAGCGTGCGCCACCCCCTATTCGAGGAGCTGTCCGTCTTCGCTCGCCACCCACCCTCGCCTCTGCACGCTTTCGTTCCACAGATAATGATGTGAATACAGTCAAGAAATATTTCGTTAAGTAAGATAGGCTCACATCCCACATTTTCACCAATAACAAGAAAAAAGTGATGGGAAACTCTAGCTCAACGGTGGATCCCACACTAAAGCCTATGAAAAGCAACCTGTGCTCGACAGTTGCAACGAAATATGAAGTCCAACCCCGACCTGATTTCGACGTTACTTATCTCCGGGCCCGTGTTATGTATTGTGCAGGAGGATATGAAGGCGTGCACCTTCTCCCCTCAGCTGGCCTCTCACAAGACGCGCATCGGGCGGAGCCTTAGCCCGCAGAGGCAGGGGCCGGTGTACGAGGAGCTCTACAAGGAGGCCAGCGCGCAGCGGCTCTCGAGGACTCTGGTGAGAGGGCGGGCGGGGTGGCATGGGTGGTGTGTGTGCTAATGTAAACCCATGCCGTAGTCATTACCCATTGACTTCCCATCCCTACAATGCCCGGAGGAGGAAATTGCCGGGGGGTTTGCCGGCACAGGCTCGTTTCGCAGAGACGTGCATCCTCCTCTTGGGTCTCCAAGAAAAGTCCAAACAAACCCCGCAGAGAAAACATTGTGCTTACATCTACACGCCCACCTCGCCCACCTCCCCTTGCCCCTAGAGCGCGGACCGCCTCCAGTCGCAGCAGTGCCCCTTCAAGCCCCAGCTGGCGACGCGCCCTCGCTCCCCGCCGGCTACTTCGTCCACCACGGCCGACCCCGCCACCACCACCGCCACCGCCGGCGGAGGACAAGGCGAGACCGGCGCCCAGTCCCCCCTCGAGGCTTCCTCGGACGATGCCGCAGCAGCAGTGGCCGAGGGCACGAGCGGCGTCGACGAGGCCCTTCCCTCGGTGCTGGGGTCGCCGTCGTTGGTGCAGCAGTCCTCGCCCCCCCCGGCGGAGGGAAGCGAGACGCACGCGGCGGGGGCGGATGGGGCGACGGTGCCCCCCCCCCTGCCCCCCCCGGTCGGGGACGAGGGGGAAGACGAGGAGGAGGAGCAGGAGGAGGAGCAGGAGGAGGAGCAGGAGGTGTACGACTACTGAGGATGCAAACCGTGATTCCTTCCTTGGTGACGGAAGGTCGTTTCCACAAGTTGACTTACTCGTGGGGACACCTTCTCGTCCTTACCCCCCTCAGCTAGTAGATGACGGGTGTACACATACATATCTGTGCATGCCATAGTCGTCAAATAGTCTGCCTCGCATCCCAACAAAGCCGGGAAGTAGCACGCTGGGTTCTCACCGGACTATGTAGGCTCGCACATCACCGAGCGCGATGCGCCGTAGAATTACCGGAGGGGTGAAAGAGAGGAGGGTGGCAGCAATAGCGCTGTTTGAGAGCCCGGGCTCAGGAATGCCACGTGCAAGGGCACCAAATGTTCAACCTGCGTCACATTATCTGTGGGTGGTAGATTGGGTCGTTGGGATCCGCCCTGGTTTTCCTTGTTACCCACAAGGACTGAACGACCTGCTGTTGTCATGAAAAAATCCTGTTGATGGTTGATGGCATGTTGTCGGGCGACTGTTTTTATTGTTGCGGCGGTAGTAAGATGTACTAATGAGGAACGTCGTGGACCTAGAACCCTTCTGGATACTTGGTTGAGGGTGAGTGCGATCCCCCCAGATTGTGCGGGCGAAGTTTGTAAGGGGAAAAAAATTGCGAGGTATTTAGCTGTTGTGAGCATCCTTGGCGGGATCTCCTTTACAGCCCGATTTGACTGGCTAGATCGTGCATGCTTCGCGTCCGCTTCGGCACTGCTCAACTTGCCATTGGTGTATGACGGAGTCAACGGCCGTGCCTCTCACGTTTCGCTTGTGGCCCCATGTAGTCTAGCGAGGCCCTCCTCCCCCTCAATAACCTAACGCTGGTGTTGTGATGACTATCTCATTGATGTTGCCAGTGTTGTTGCTCACTTTATTTGTTCATCGCGAGCTTGGCCACGGTAAGCTTGTCGTGAAATCGTTGCCAGCTGTGGAGTTTCGCTTCTGTGTTGAACCAAATGGAACAGTCACCGGTGGGGGGTCCGAACCATGTATCAATATCCAAAGCCCTGCAACATCGATTGTGGGATGGGTATAGCGGCATCTGCCCGACAGAATAGTATCCCGATGAACTACCGTAGGTGGCATCGACGTAGATGTTTCCGCAGTGCAGTTTCAAGTGCGTTTCAAGTGCCTAGGAGAGCAAGTAGTGTACCATCGATGTTGCTTTACTTGGGGGGGGGGAGTGATTGTAGTCTGCCCCGTTGTTTTTCTCGTGGTCGCGCGCTTGCTCCTTTGTCAGGGACGAGCGATTAGGAATTCCCAATTGACCAGTGTGTTGCCTCCTTTGTGAAACCCGCATACTGCAGGCTCCACAACCTAACCGTGCTGCTGCGACCACAAGGTCCGTGTCTCCGGGGGAAGTGCTCCGACAATTCCGGCTCCATTTCAAGTTGTGATGTCTACCGAGGCGTCATCAATGCTGCGTGAAACATGTGGGTCATTGATGTACCACACGTTCAGCAGCACTGCAAGACGCTGTAGTGCCGCTATCCCACTAACAAGAAGCGCGAATAAGGGGAAAGGTGGCGCCGTTCTTCGCGCCCACGACCTCACGTTCTTCCAACACTCTTCCGCAATCCATTTCGCTACTACCCCCCGGGCACGCGTTGAAGAGCTCAGCATCCGGTCCAAACAGTCACGCCCCGCCGCTCCCCTCTAACTGCCATCGTCTCCTAGCCCCAACACCACCAACTGCTTGCGACTCCGCTGCTTCCCTCCGCACCACCGCCGTTCTGCGAAGCGTCAAGCTTCGCCGTCTCCGCCTTCCTCCTCCTCTCTTCGCCGCGCCATCTGCCTCTCGGTGAACGCGGACAGAGCGCCTCGCATGTCCTCGAGCCTTCGCTCCAGCGCTATCTCGGCCCAGTACGCGTGCGCCGTGTCGTTCCCCACGATGCTCCCCGAGGACCCGGCGTACGCCAACGCCTCCTTGTACGCCAACGCCTCCTTCTTGCACAGGTACCGGGCCGTGCAGTACTCCAGCTTTAGCGCCGCCGCCTCCGCTAGCTCCGCGTCTCCGGCGCCTTCCGCCGCCCGCAAGGCGCCCAGCGGCTTCGCGCACTTCTTCTGCACGCGCTTCAGAGCGCGGGCGTCTCGTTCTCTGGTCGACAGCGGCACTCCTGTCGGAGAGCTCGCGCTGCCTGCTGTTGCTGAGCCCGCACCGGCAGCAGCGGGGGGCGTCGAAGGGAGGCCTTCGTCCATTCCAAGCTTTGCCCACGGCTCCTGTGGGGGGGGGGGGGGGGGGGGGGGGGGGGGGTT